GTGGTGGTTAACTTGGACCACGAGAGGCTTCTATACCACACGACTTCGCATCAGTGGGAAAGGCTCCCAAAACCACAGTGGCACCATGACCTCCTCGATGACGGAGATCCTTCATTCTCCTCCCAGTGTTTCCAAATCTGGGGGAGGAAATATAACAGTTAATTTTTTTCTTCAACCTAAATAAATATTACGAAATTGCTCAAATTAATTAATTATTTTACCAAAAATTCGCAATATACTAAGTCAAAAAAATATATTAGAAGAGTTAGAACCTGTGTTCTTATAACAATTGAATTCCCATATAAATTACATAAACCATAAGCCCACTTATTAATGAAATATATTATTTCGCCAATGGTTTGCCACTAGGCTCTATCACCTGCTTTGTTTAATAGTTATTTGGAAGAGTTTTCTTACTTTCATTATAAGAAATTTGCTAAGTTGATTATAAAAGCTATTAATTTGCTGACGATATTTTTACTATTATCGACTATAAAATACTAATTTATATTTATATTAACTCAGTTAATCGTCCCTGAAATTTCATTTAAAAATTATTAAGCAAAAAATCAGGAATTTTGTATCTCATAATCACACTCCAAAACTAAAAATATAAATTTTACCTTTTTATGACTTTTTCATAGTTTAGCATTATAATTATTTTGGATTTGGATTTATAGTAATGGTAAAGTTTTATAACATTTAAAATAACATAAGTAATCAATAAATGACTTAATTTCTAAAATTTTCTGGATCTCTAAAGCCTGTAATTGAAAATTTAAACTTAAACTTTGGTAGACATTTATTCTTCCTCTTTTAATTTAATCCATCAGTATTGACTCAAAGACATAAAATATGTTTTAATAAACAAAAAAATATTTATTTAAGTAGTTTTAAAAAAATTTGTGGCTTTCCACCTTCTCGACCAAATTAAATAATAGAAGTATAAATCATAAGATTTAAAAGAAAATATGACATATAAAATTTTCTTTTAAGTATGCCAAATTTTATCAGCGAATATTAAAAAAATGTAAAATTTCGACCACAAGAAATAAATTTCTATCCCTTTGATTTACTCATGGTGTTACAATATTGTACATTTATTAATACCATTATCAGAACTACAGGAAAAATTGAGAAGAAGTTAACTACTTTAGAACAGAGCTTCTAGAAAGACTTGAAGACGAATTCATGATTTAATTATATATATAATCAAAGTTTAATCAATGCTGCTATTCATTTTTTGAGTAAACTTTATCTAATAACAATTTAAAAGAATATTGAATCAAATTTTTAGATAACAATAGATTATTAATTATTATATTAATAAAACTGTTTAAGTAAAATTAATCGATAAACTTAGTATCAATGCTTAAAACAAAAAAATATCAAATTAGAATATTAATAACAAACAAAAATTAAGAGAAGCTCGTTAAAGGTGTTTATTTATATAAAAATTTAACATTTTAAAATTCATCTGAGTTTAATAAAGTTTTTTTTCATGTTTGTTTTTATAAAAAATAATATTGTTTTAATATTATTAATATTTTAAAAATCAAAAATTCTTTTATGAACAACAGAATAAGCTTTTTTATTTGCTCATAACCTATAGAGAAAGTTAAGATTTTGTTTAGATGTGTTTATTAACTTATCTCATCTAAAATCTTAATTTATAAGAAAAAATTTAGTAATAGACTATATTCTTCGGTTTTGCACTTTTAGAATAGCAACTCTTAAGTATGATGATTGATTTTAAGTTGTAGCTTAAAGTACTATACTTTAAAGCAATTTTATAAAAAAGGACAAATATGTAAATAATATTCAAAAAAATGTCAATAGAACATGTTCGATTGTAATACCATGAACATGATGATAAATACTATGTAACCTAAAAATGATTTCCAATTGTCAAGAAGTTCTTCAAGATTAGACCAAAAATAATCAATACCTTCAAACATAACCTATAGTAAGAAATATTAAAGTAATTGAATAATTATTTCTAATATTATTTGTAGACAAAGTTGATGGTTCTATTGCAAAAATCTTGTGATAAATGGATTGATTAGTATATTAAAAATTCTTGCTGCTTAAGAATTATTAGTAATGTAAAAAAGAAATTCAGAGATTATTTAGATTGTATTTTTATTTTCTCATAATATACTATTATTGAAATATAAATACTTTTGTATAAAATAAATTCTGTTCATTAAAGAGTAGCTTATTATTTTACTTTAAGCAATCTTATTGGAAATTTCAAAAATATATAAATCAAATAACGATAAATTATTAAAAAAGTATAAGACATATTTATATAAATTTTATAATAACAATAAATTTATCTGTTCCATATAAATAATCATTTCCATTAAAGTAACTTTTCATTATTGAAGTTAAAAAAAGATGAATTTTAAATAATTATTTCGAATTTAAACTATAACTGGATCGAAATAAGTGTATTTTGAGAGTTATTAGATCAGTTTGATTAATTTTTTCCACAAAATTTATATTATTTTTTTTATGTTCTATTAAATACTTATTGGATTGTTTACAACTACTTGTGGATCAAATTTGTATGAATTATACGAAGCGAATTTTGTAAATGATAGTTTTGTAGATAGTGAAGGTATTTTTAATATCTAATATTAGGATGGTAAGTAAATAATGTAATCCAAAGTGTAGGTTAATGCAACGGTATATAATTATTTGGAGGTTATGAGGTATTTGGTAAAAACACAATAATTACAAAACTAATATCTCCACCTCCACATTATGCAATCATGATTACATTAGAATTCTGGAAGTAATATTTATACAAACATATAGAATAGATAATTGGGATAATGAATAATTTTATATTTATGTCGATTAGAATCTAATATTTTCACAGATATATGGAGAGTCAAATACAAATTCAAACTTGTGTGGATAGCCTCTCGGAAGTAGTTGGAGTGAGGAAGTTTAATAAATCAGTGTAACAAAAAATCACAATTATAAAACACTTTTTATACTAATGACATCAAATTTATAAGGAATTAGAGATGTAAGAATTTAATTTATGAAAGGAATGGTGGGGAATCAGAAATTTTAAATTATATTATTACCCATGTCCACCTGGATGTCAAACTTGTACTTCAGAAGATTCGGCTATTGATTGTCTTATTTGGATTGTCTAATATCAAAGTTTATTAGATGTATTATATGGTTAATTTTAAATGGATGGATGGATGATTTTGGAAGGATTTTAAAATAAAACTAGTTGTTCTAGTACTTTTATTATTTATTATTATAGTTCTTCCTCTTTTGGGAGGATTTTCTAAAACTGGATAAAAAAGCAAAATTATAAAATCAATAAATTTACCAGTTCATTGTTTTGTTAAAATTAAATTTAGTTTTGTTTTCATTGATAAATGGGAAAATGAATATGCTTAATTTTATATTGATGATCAATTAATATGGTATTATTCTCATAAATCAGTTGCAGAAGAAATAACGATTTGTGGTAATAGTTTTGGTGAGAAAATATTAAATTAAGAGATTATTTTGCCTCATAAATAATAATTCTTACAAATGTAATTTACTACTACATTAAAGAATTCACCTTCCTAATAATCATTTGGTATAAGAGATATTTAAATATTTATAAGTAAATTTATTAATTATTTAAGATTGTCCATTTGGTTTTCCTTTTGATTTTTCTTGTGAAGGAATATGTGGAAATGGAGAGATAGATAGAGCTGAACAATGTGATGATGGAAATATTTAACCTTTTGATGGATGCTTTAATTGTCAATATTCATGTATTCAAGGTTGTTCTAATTGTATTAATGGCATTTGTTATGAATGCTAAGAAGGATGGATATTTTATGAATTTACATGTACTGAAGATTACTTTATAAATAATTAAGATTAATATGATGATGAATAGTAGTAATAATGTTTAAATAATTGTAAATTATGTATCTATGGTGTATGTAAAGAATGTGATATAGGATATTATCTAATTAACAATTAATGTAAAACAATTTGTGGAGATGGAATAATTGAAATGTGTGAATTAGAATAATAAGAATGTCTAAATTGTTAATTGAATTGCACAAAGAATTGTGATGTTTGTATTAAAGGTAAATGTCATTAATGTATTATTGGATATACATTTGATTATATTGAACAATATTGTTAACCTATTTGTGGAAATGGTGTTGTATCTAATGATGAAGAATGTGATGATTTTAATATAGAAAATGGTGATGGATGTTCTAGTTAATGTAAAATTGAATAGAATTATATTTGTAAGAATTATTAATACTCATTTTCTGAATGTAGTTATGAAAAATATCCTTCATTCTAACTTTCATTAATTAGTACATATCATGAATATTAATATGTATCCATTTATTTTGATTAAATTGTTAAAACAATTAGTTAGACTGCTTTTTCTACAATGATACGTATGCGTTTAATAGGACCAAATGAAATATTTTATGATTTACACTTAATTCCTATTTAAGAACCTTTTGAATAAGTTTCAGCTGCAGAATACTTAGTCAAAATTGTAATAAACACTACTCTATCATAACCACCAATTTTAGAAGTAATTCTAGAGGATTAACTATTTAATTATCATGATGTTCCACTTGCTAATTAAATAAATTAAATAAAACTTAATCTTCCATAATACCTTAATGATGAATAAAAATAGAATGCCATTTACCTCTAAAAAGTAGCTAAATACACAATGATTTCAATGGGAGGCTCAGTGATACTCATATTGATAATTTGCGGCTAATTATTAATTTAAGAAATACTTGAAATGCTTCAATAATAATCCTACCTTAGATTTATTAATGTAATTTTTCCTCTTAATTTATTTATTTACTTTGAATCAAGTAATTTGATATCTATGCAACCTATTTTAGAAATAGTTAAAATTGATTAATTATTTACATAATTTATGAATGATTAATATTTGGAATCTTAAGGGAAATTATTATTCTATGAGGTAAATGCAGATATTTTAACTAATATATAAACTTAAGTCTTCTTAATTATTGTACTTATGATTACTTACTCTTCAAATTATTTAGTCATAAAATTAATAAGGAAATTAAATAATTAACAGATTTTTTATTTTGGTACAAAATTTGCAAAATTATTAATGAAAACCTTGAAGTCTATGTAGAAACAAAAAAAAAAATTTGAAAGTTAAGTATTATAAGATTTTCTAAACACAAATAGTTGGGATCTTCTTTTTATGTCCTTTCTGTAAATATAGTCAATATCCAACAACATTGTTTCCAAATTAATTTCATATCTCATTTTGTATATAATTCTCTTTATTTCATCTAAAATGTTTACTAGAATAAGCTATCCAATTATAAGGAATTAAAAATAATTATGGACTTCAAAATCAAATTAAATCAAACTATTAAAAAAAGTTTTATTCATACTCATATTAGTAATGTTGCAATAAAATCAAAAATTACAAATTATGTTATTAACTATTGTTTCCTCATTCTATTTAATTTATCTTTTCTTTATTAAACCTTTTAAGAACACCCTAGACTTCATTAATACTATGGTACTAGAGATTAGCTAATTTATATTTTGTTCTTCATCAGCCTTATATTGGAATGTTTTTAAAGATAAATTAAATTATAACATTTAAATTTAATTTGCATGGTTTCAAATTGGAATGCTATTGTCATGCTTATTTGTAAATTTAGTTTAATAATTATGCATTTTATGTGTAGAACTGAAAAAGAGTATAGTGAAAAGGTTTTATTAATAAAATCCTTAATAAAATTAATAGCCAATAAAAACTAATCCATTTTTAAATCCTTGAGGATTCATTTGATATATATTTAATAATGTAACCATATTTATTCATATAATAATAGCTATATGATTTTCTTGTTTTCTTAAAATATTATAATCACTATCTGTTAATTTATTAATTTTATACATATTTTAATATTTTACTAATACCCTTAATTATTGTATAATTATTATTTTATTGTAATTTTCATTGAATACAAAAATTGAATTCAAAATATTTGATTTTTTAGTAAATAAATAGTCTGAAATATAACCATTTTCAAATTCTTGTCTTATTGATCCTTTTCAAATATTTCTATATAATATAATATTTGAAATGAGTTAAAAGCTATATATTTATATAAATTTATATAAATTGTAATTAAAGAGATAAAAAAATTTACTTAGAAAATTATAAACAAGACTAATTTCTTATTCTTTTTCAAAAAGTTAATTGCATAATCACTATTTTCTGAGAATTCAAAATAGCATAATTTGTTTTTCTTAAATGAATTTAACAAAACAAATCAACAGAATATTCATGAACATCAGCACAAGAAAGAAAAATATTTTGATTTAATATTATTATTAATAAAGTATGTCATCGTTGATGATAATTAATTAACTATATTACATAAAATAAAATTAAACTATATTACTTAAATAAAAAAATAAGTAATTCTACTATAGATGCTTAATAAAGATGATTCAACTTCATTCCTTTAAACCAAGACACTGATTCAAACTCTTAATATATAAAGTTAAAAAATTCTTATTTAAATATCAAAAGAAGAATTATAATTTAAAAAATTTGTATATTTAGGCTTTTTAGATCAATATAATTTAAAATTAAAAAGGTAAATCAAAATATCCTTAATATCTCAAAGAAATTAAAAATAGTGTAATTCTTACTTTTAAGACTTCCAAGTAAATCTTTTTCTGTCTAATCATGTTTCTCTATTTAATAATCTTAAATATAAAGACCAAAAATTTTTTTTGTTCATAATATCAGGCTAAATACAGGAAATCCATAGTCTAATGTATTCCTGTATAATTTTTGATTTTTTTCTTATAATTTCTTATTAATATAAGTTTATTTTAATTTTTATAAAAATTTTTACAATAAATTTTATTATAACTAAAATAAATTATACCAAAAAGTATGATAATTAAAAGCTAAAAAAAAAGTATTAAACAATGAAATATGTTATCAATTTTATGTTGTGTTTGATATAAACTTTTAAGTTGAGATATTTTTAAATATTAAATAAAGTAGAGGGAAAATAGATTTAACTAATATAAATAGAAGCGATTAATAATTATGACATTTTAATTAAATATATATTAATTAAAAACTTATCAAAATTGGCATGTTGTTAATTGAATAAATATTAGAACTTATAGATTCTTTTTAAAGTCCAACAAAGCATATTCATCTTTATTTTAGTTTTGAAATATTATTGAAAATCAAATATAAATATTTATTAAGGAATAAAAATTATTATTTTTTCTACTGAATGAATTTAAAACACTTTATGAATTACTATTATCATCAAAATATAAATGAATTTAAAATACTCTCATCTATTATATGTCTATTTAATAATTTTATGCTTACGATAATGATTTATGTTTTTAAATAATATTTTGTGATTTATTTTTTTTGATTTCGTATGAACAGAAGAATCCAACAATTACATTTGCTCTTTATTATGAGTCGAAATTGCATTTTTTTTAATTTATAATAATTAATAATTCCAATATTGACATTCATTGCTTGTTAAATCAATTTTGTTCTTGATATTCTTTATTTTTTAAAAAAGTCTAAAAAAATGAATAATATCGAATTCAGAAGCATACAAACTAAAAGATAAAAGAATAAATGGACTATTGAAGAAGATGATGTATTAAGTTCATCTATTCAAAAATATGGTACAAACTGGTGTAAAGTTGCTTAAAATTTTCCAAATAGAAATCCAAACTCTTGTATTCAAAGATGGAAAATATTGAAATGCAAAAATATAAGAAATATATTTAATCACTAGAAAATAACAAAGAAGAAATGGAATTAAAAAGAAGATAAACTTCTTTCAAAATTAGTAATACTCTATGGAAAAAAATGGAAAAAAATTTCAAAATACATAACAGATAAAACCGATAAGCAGTGTTTGTAGAGATACAATAGTACCCTAAATCCAAATGTAAATAAATAGCCTTTCACAGAGGAAGAGGATTAGATAATATACTCAAATTACATAATTTTAGGTTCAAAATGGTCTATAATATCATAGAAACTAAATAAAAGAACTGTAAATTTATATATATTTAGTTCAGCCAAATTAAGTAAAAAATAGATTCTATTCCCATATTATTTCTTCATATTTGAATCTATAAAACCCATATTATACAAAATTATCATCTTAATAAGCTAAGACAGTTTTATTAAAAGTCGCTTCTGAACATAAATAAAAATTGCTTTTAGATAATTAAAATTTAAATACTTCAGAATTAGACAAAAGTCAATTAAAAAACACCTTTGATTTGATTGAGTCTTGCCAAGTAGAATTTGAAGATGATTATTCTAATTATCACAGACTTGGATGATGAACCATTAATATATTAAATAAAAATAATTTATAATACAAAGATATTTTAAGCTTATAAAAGTACATTCTATTATTATTTAATAAGTCATTTATTATTTTTATAATAATTTTATATAGTTTTTGTATTTCTCTTAACCCATAGTGTATATTTAATCTTGATAATACAATGAAGCAAATTTTATTCAACATTAATTAAAGTGATTCGGAATTATTTTCTAAATTTCTATGTTTTATAACAATAATATTTAACCATATATATATAATAAATTACTATTAGTGAGTCCCAGAAGAGAGATTTGTTTTTTGATTATATTGATTTTAGAATAAATTCAAACATTCATATAGACATTCATATAGACATTCATATTAGAATTTATTTAGTATTCACTTTAACTTTATAAAGATTAGTACCATCTAAAATTTTAAGGATAGAGAGGAATTTATTTAATTTGCTATTTAATACATTTTTGAAGTTAACTAACAGTGTATATACATTTAAATAACTCAAACTTATTTAATAATAAAGAGGACAAAATAAATAATAAAGTTATATGTTACTTTTTGAATTAATCAGGTTTTTAGTTATAATTATATACAATTCTTATATTATATTACATAATCTGGAAAGTATCATGTAGTATTTATTAAAATTATCAATTATTGATTCCTTAAAATTGAAAACCCTCCTAAACTCAAGGACTCTTTTGATTATGTTATAACTACGAATCTTAATAATATTTGATTTATTAATACTAATTAGAACTATGTCAAAGCAGTTTTAGAAATACTAAATTTGTTTAAAAGTAAATTATCAATCATTTATTCTCAAAATAATTCAGTATTTTTTTTTAAATCTAATAAATAAATGTTTAAATTAAACTGTAATAAATATGGTTTAAACTTCCTTTTTCTTTTCTTCAGAAGTTGGCCTTCATAACAAATCATGCTTAATAATGAATAAATATATTTTCATGGCCCTTAGCTTAACTTCTTTCACTCCATGTTGTAATTTCCAGTTATAGACCATTACTTAAACCAGAACTAATCTATTTCCTTCAACAATCTTCATAATTCTTTCACATTTTACAACCTATAATACTTCTAATCTTATTGATTTTTATTTCCCTCAATATACTTCTGTTCCTTCTTGCCACCTTTGAAGGATTAAAAAGTATCGATCTTGCAAATTCTAGTATCTGTTTGTCCATCCAATATTCTTAAAGTTTGAATCCAAAAATAAAATTATATTTTAGCAAACCCTGAATTCATCAGAATAATTATAGGCAATCGTTCTTATTAGTATATTTTTAGAATAATCATTCTCTTAATAAGAGATGGTGTAAAATAAACTTATTTTTTAAATGATCTTCAACTCTCATTTTTTTTTGGATATTGTCATTTTATGGTTTTTTTAATTCAGAATGAATGAATAAAAATTAAAAAGAGTGTGCCTCCAGGTAATATTTCAATAGAGAAATGAAAATTAACATTCATCTCATTCAAGAGTTCAAAGATTTGTTTAAATATTTGATAATTCAAAAAAAATGTAAACCATTTGTAAGATTTAGTGGGTGAATAAAATGATATTTTAATTTTGGGAGTTGAGACATTTAAATATGGAAATTGACACATTCAATTCCACAAAATTTTAATAAAATAAAAAATGCTGATTATGTTTATTTTTAAGTTTTGTATTTTGTTTCTCTGTAATTGCTTTAATAAGGAATAGGAAATAAAAATAAGATAAATTTAATTATGATATCAAATTACAGAATTACAAGATAATGAAAAATACAAAAATACATTCCATTCATTGATTCAATAATAATTATCAAAATTATGTATTTGTAGAAACCTATTAACAATCTATTTCATTAAAACAATTTGCAGGGTTCA